AGAAAAAGAAGAGGAGGAGGAGGAGGTGGAGGAGGAGGACCAGTGGGCCCAAGAGTCATCAAGGATGTTGGTATGAACCCTCCCTCCAAGCTCCCTCTTCATTGGCCCCTATAGCGGCTCATCTCCATTGGGGGAATTGCCTCGTTCGAAGACAAGAGTTTGAAGATCCTGAAGCGTGCCAAAACATTGTTCTCGGGGTTTCAACACCACGTATCAACCTGGCTGCTGCGTCTTGACGATCCAGAATCGTGCCACAACGTCATCTCTGGGACTTCAACACAGCGAATCAACATAACTGTTGCGCCCGCATAATCCTGAATCCTTCCAACACACATTTTCTGGTACGTTGATCATGGGAATCCGTGAACTTCTTGCAACTTTACAATGCGAATGTGCGCGGCGCGAAGGCGAGAACCACATTTAGATAGTTAAGGAATCGCCCTCAATCTGTGAAACCCTTGCAACTTTTTAGAACGAATGTGCGCGGCGCCAAAGCGAGAGCCACATTTTGAAAACGACCCGCCCTCCATCTGTGAAGCTGTTGCCACTCCTGTGCTTCAAAATCATAAAAGGTGAGGGGGTCTCAGGCGAAGCGCCCGGCCCGCCGTAAGAGCTGGCCTCGGGGTGCGACAGGGAGGAGTTATCTATAAGGAGAAGAATGGAGCAAGAGGAGGAGGAGGAGGAGGAGGAGGAGGCGGAGGAGAAGGAGGAGGAGGAGGAGGAGGGAGAGGAGGAGGAGGAGGAGGGGGAGGAGGAGGAGGGGTTCAATTGGGGGCGTCCGCCCCGTGCCGTCGCCGGGCGGGGCCAAGGCCGGGCGAGGCCTCCTAGATGGGGTCGGAGTAGATGGGGTCGAAGGATCGCGCCGCATCGCCGATGCATCGCCGATACATCGGCGATGCGGCTAGATGTGGGGCCCAGTTTTCTCCACGCCGGCGTCGCCGCTGCACCGCCGACGTCGCCAGTGCATGGCCGATGCATCGCCGATGCATCGGCGATGCATCGGCGATGTATCGGCGATATGGCGCGATCCGCCGACCCCATCTACTCGGACCCCATCTAGGAGGCCTCTACTTAGGTCGGGTATGTCCTCCTACAGGCGTTTTTTTTAGTCCCCATACTCTCCCACATGTTTCGTGGGGTTCTGATTTTCTTCCCTGCCGCGCCGCACCCGCGTCTCACACCTCCCCCCTCCCCTTCTCCTTCTCGCACCAGAGCGGCACGGCACAGCTGAGCACAGCTCAGCTCAGCTCAACTCAGCACAGCACAGCACAGCACAGCACGGCACAGCACAGCTCACCGCACAGCAGCACAGCACAGCACAGCACAACGCCACAGGGGGTGCGCTGGGGGTGGGGGCCCTATGCGTTGTAGGCTCCCAGGGCGTGGCAGGCGTGGCATTTCCTGGGCGCCGCAGGGGGTGCGCTGGGGGTGGGGGCCCTATGCGCTGCCTGCAACGCATAGGGCCCCCACCCCCCCAGGGGTGCGCTGGGGGTGGGGGCCCTATGCGTTGCAGGTTCCCAGGGCGTGGCAGGCGTGGCATTTCCTCGACGACACAGAGGGTGCGCTGGGGGTGAAGGCCCTTTGAGGAGGAGGACGGGGAGGTGGGGCAGCAGCAGCGGCAGCAGCAGCAGCAGCAGCAGCTGCAGCAGCAGACGCAGCAGCAGCAGCAGAAGTAGCAGCAGGAGGAGGAGGACACCGAGGAGGAGAAGGAGGAGAAGCAGCAGAAGCACCGATGGTACACATGGGAAATAAAATAGATATGTGGGGTTCCTCGGTAGCGTTTTTTTTTTCTTTGGGACTCTTTTTGAATATTTCCCTACCTAGGCTCTGCCTAGAAGGGTTCTTACTCGGTTTGCTTAAAGGGCCGGGCAGTGGACCATGCCCCGGGCGGTTCCCCCGGCATCCGCCCCGCGGTTCCCCCAGTGACGTCCCCTTAGCTTAGCGTTGCTTATATCATCTTAGCTTAGCTTATTTCATCTCATATTAGCTTAGCTTCATCTTAGCTCAGGTTTATCTTAGCTTAGCTTACCGTCATCTTAGCTTCGCCGAGCTTTAGCATAGCAGAGCACAGCATAGCATAGCATAGCGTAGCATAGCATAGCGCAGCGCAGCATATCATAGCATAGCCCAGCATAGCATAACATAGCATAGCGCAGCATAGCGCAGCATAGCATAGCATGGCATAGCGCAGCACCGCACAGCACATCGTAGCACAGCGCAGCATAGCATAGCATAGCATATCATAGCATAACATAGCATAGCATAGCATAGCACAGCAGCAAAGCGAAGGCAAAGCGAAGGCAAAGCAACAGCAGCGACAGCAAAGCAAAGCATTAGCATCGGTGTAATTCCCTACCTAGGCTCTGCCTAGAGGGTTAGCTTAGCTTAGCTTAGCATAGCGCAGCGCTGCATTAGCATAACATAGCATAGCATAGCATAGCATCGCCAATCATATCATAGCATATCATAGCATATCGCAGCATATCATAGCATTGCACATCAAAACAAAGCATATCATAGCATATCATAGCATAGCGCAGCTTAGCATATCATACCATAGCATAGCATAGCTTAGCATAGCACAGCGCAGCTTGACATAACATAACTTAGCATACCATATCCTATCATGCCATTGCATAGCATAGCATAGCATAGCGCAGCATCGCATATCATAGCATTCGCATAGCGCAGCATAGCATGGCATAGCATAGCATAGCATAGCAACCAATGCTGCTTTCCTAGGGGCTCCAACTTCTGGGTAGGGTCGCACTAGGGTAATCTTCCTGTGGAGGGACACGCCCGACTTCAGGGTGGGGGCGTCCGCCCCCGGGTGCCGCCGTCGGGCGGGGCCTGGGCCGGAAGATGCATCTCGCCCCATTGGAGGCCCGGGGAGCCAACGCGCACTGCCACAAAGATCAAGATGCAGCCACGCGCCACAGAGGGGTAGTAAGGGGGAGGGGGGAAGGCTTCTCAGAGCCACCCCTTCTTCTTTTGGGCGATCGCAAGCATGGATCAAGGGGGCGTGGATTCGCGACGGGTCCCGTTTTAAAAGGAAATCGCGGATTTCCGCCGCCGAGCGGGGCGGCACCGGCCGCATTTTGGGGAGGGCACCTCCCCCGATTCATGGATTTGGCGACCGCGCGCCAAATCCATGGATCGCTCATCCATGTTTGCGCGCCCCCGCTTCTTAGAAGGCGCGGGCCTTGTCTGTATATGTAGGGCCAGCGCCTTCTACGAAGCAGCCTCTTCCTGAGAAGCCTTGCCCACTGCAAACGGGGTCCGCCAGAGCACCAGATCTTGCATGATCCTGCGGGGCCAGGGGCGCATAGACCCGGGCTTGGGTGCAGGATCCTGCAGGATCCTGCAGGACCTTGCAGGATCCTGCAAAGCCTGACTGACCCGGGTCTGGATGGACCCGGGTCAGCAGATCCCCGAGAGCTTGGGGATCCAGCGCATTGAAAACATCAAGACGGAGTTTTGGTAGCTCCGTGGGGCCTGCTGCCCGTTTCGAAGCTCGGATATTCGGCTGCACTGCTGGCGGCACCGAGCACTACAGAAGGCATGGGCTTGAAACGCAAGAATGTTCACAGTACCTGGTGATCGTTTTTTACTCATTGTTTTGCCGATCGGGGCGGGCCCTCGCACCAAGCCCTCCCCCCCCACCCCTGGAGTTGATCTTGGCCGTTTGTGGCGCCTGTTTCGAGCAGGCGGAGTCTCTCCAACAGGACGCACGGTTGCAAACCGACGCAGTAGGCAGAGGTCCAGAGCCAGACCCTCCCCTCGCCCCTCTTCCGCCCAATGTCGAAACGCCGAATAAGAAAACTTTCACCTGGGCTGGGTAACCACAAAAATTGAGATGAAGGTTTCCTGCCGCCTTCGGCCAGCCTGGGGGCCCTCGCCAGGCCCCAGGACTGCCCAAAGAGGACTCGGGGCGGCAAGCCGGCCCTGGGGAACGGGTCTGGACTTGCGGGGACACCGTGTTGAACCAGCCAAGACGTCGGCTTTCTGCGGCAAGGAACGTCGCAGCACATCCCGGAGCGCTCTGGAACGGCCGCGGAGCCCGATGCAGCCTCCAGAGCTGCCAGACCTCAGCCATGTCCCCGATGCAAGTGTTGCGGCCCGATCTCTTGTCCTGCCTGTTCCTGGCTCCGCCGTGCGGCCGAGAGTCTCTCCCTCGAAGGCCTCCGAGAGGGCGCCAGAAGGAGAGCCCGGGGAGCGGCCCGAGGGGCGCGGCTGCACGCCGCCTCCCTCCCCCCCTGCAGCAGAGCGTGGGGCTGGCGCCTCGGCCTGGCGGCCTGGGCCGCCCCTGCAGGGCCCCGGGTGCCCCCCCGGCCGCCGCCGTCCGCCGCCGCCGCGGTCGTCGCCGCCGTCGTCGCCGCGGCCGGCGTCGCCAGTGCGAGCGCTCTGGGCTTCTCCCGCGTCGGTCCGCCCCAAAGGACTACGTGCCTCTGGCCGGCGGCTACGGCCACGGCTCAAGCACGATCTCGGCCTGGATCTCGCGCAACATCAACCGCGACATGCGCAGCGGCAAGGCGATGCGGCCCTCCTCCTCCTCTTCCTCCTCCTTTTTGCGTTGGCCCGACTCTGAGCGACGGAGCTCGCGTCGTCATCGTCCTCCCCCTCTGCCTCCTGAGGAAGGGTGCGGTTAGGGCCCTGGCTGAAGACGGACTGCAAACCTCCTCGTGGTGGCCGGGGGTAACTTGATGCTGGCAGGTTTTGTCGAAGGCCGTCTTTCCCCTCAAGCGGCGGAGGGCATCAAGGCCAAGGAGCTAGAGGGGGCCTCCAGCAGACGCAGACGGCCCCTGCCTCCACTGCGGGGCAGGTGCGTGCATGGACGGGGGCTTTGCCCTGTCGCCGGCGGCCAGAGGAGGGCCTGCCGCTGAGACTCCGGGTTTGGGATCCCGGGCCCGCGGAGGGGCCGCGCGACGCGCTGTGCTCCTGTGCGCGCGGGGCTCCTTGACGCTTCGTGCCTTCCTCCCTGCGCCCCAATCTGCACTGGTTGTGCAGCGATCTGCCGACGCCTGGTTGCTGGCTCCCCTTCCAGGGGGGGAGCCTGGGCATTAGGCGCGCGGATCCCCGCCGGTGTGGTGCGGCTCGCGCAGGGGATGCGGCTGCGGAGGGGGTGTCCCGTGTTGCGGGTGGTTCGGTTCGTCGTCGTTTTCTTCTTCGGGGGGCTCGCCCAAACTGGTTTGTATAGCTTACCGCTCACACCGAAACGCGTCCTTCACATGACTTTTCAGTGTGACAACTGATATCCCTGACTGCGGTTGGCGACTTGGCCACCGCCTTCGACTCGGACTTTCGTCCCCTGGCGCACAGGGGCCAGGACCAGTGCGTCGGCCAGTAGTCTCCTCCTCGGCTGCCGGTCTCCCTGCCTGGCTTTTTCATAGTTGGTTCCACCCCGGAGCTGCCACGAGGCGGCTCCAGGGTGGCATCTTATTAACCCCATACTGCTTTTCTCGCCTGCTGCGGAGGGCGCCTAGGCCTTTAGGCAGCCTTTCGCCATCAACAACAACAACAGCAACTGTGCGGTTAGGGCCAGATTGCTCGATGGCGACAGCAGGCCCCCGGTATGCAGTGGCTGGAGCCATCAGCCGGATCTTCGGGGGCAAGTAGCTAGCCCAGTGCAGCGGGGGCTGTCCTCTGGAGCTCGTTGCTTCCTGCCCCTCCTTCCTGCTCCTCCCCTCGCCCCCCGGGGCCCGCAGGAAACGGCACCCCTCTGGGCGCGAGCTCCGCGCGACCGTTGGGGTCGAGCCGTCCTGGGCGGCCGCCATCAACGAGGCTCGATCCAGGGCTGGAAGTAAGCGTCGTTTTGCTGGACTTCGGTTGTGTGTTGGTGCTTCGTTGTGGCAGCGAGGCACAGAGCAACGGGCAGAGCAAAACGGAACACGAAACGAGCACAAAACGAAACGCAACCGTTACGTTCAGGTCTGGATAGGGGGCCACATGCGAACCCTGCCCCTACCCCCCACGATTTCTGAGGGGGAGGGTGGGGTTCACTCCGTTCGGGAGCTCCCGAACGGAGTGAACCCCACCCTCCCCCTCAGAAGCCGTGGGGGGTAGGGGTAGGGTTCGCATGTGGCCCCCTCTATCCAGACCTGGCTCCATCCTCGATCCTCGGATCGAGGATCCCTCGATCCGAGGAGCGAGGATCGAGGGGGGGGCTGCAGCAGTCGGAGCGTCGGATCCTCCAGCGCCCTCGTGGCTTCTCCTCTTTTGTCGCGGCGTGGACCCCCCCCCGCTGGAGTTGTCGTTGTCGACCCCAGCCCCAGAAACTCTGGCAATATATCTAGATCGGGCGTGTCCCTCTACAGGAGGACTATTCAAATATAGTGTATAACAGTATGGGGACGATTTTGTTGGATGTTTGTGTTCATTTTTGGAGTATGTCTTGACTATTTTTATATTTCGTCCAAAATCCGCCTGTAGGGGGACATGCCCGACCGAAGCCCAGCCCCAGAATCTCCCACCATATATGGTTCTTTCACTCTGGGCGCTGGATTCCGGGATGTTTCGCCCAGAGTTGTCGACCCCATCGCCAGAATCTCCGACAATATATGGTGCCTTCACTCCAGGCGCGTTTGATTCCTGGAGTTTTCGGCGCTCGGTCACCTCCAGCGCGTGGGAGGCCTGGTGGCAGTACTCGAGGGAAGCTTGCCCCGCACACATTCGCCTCGCATCGCTCCTTGCTGATTCGTGGCCGTCCTCTTCTCCTCCTCGCATCGCCGCTGTCGTCCGTGGTCATTGGCCAGCTCGTTTTTGTGTGTTTGTACCGTGTCGCCAAGAGCGCGTGGGAGCCTTGTGTCTGGTCACTGGGACGCCCGCACTCACAGGACTCGGATTGCCACGACCCGCAAGGCTTTGCTCAGTTCTACCCTTCCTCCCCCCCTCTCCTTCTGCTCCCCCATCCCTCCTTGCTCCTGCCATGGTGAATGCATTGTGAATGCATTGCTGGGCCGTTGAGGCCGTTCAGTACGGCTCTGTCGCACAACAGTGTGGCCAGCCAGGGGTTCATACGTTTGCGGGGTGATTCGTACCTTTCGCCATCTGGTTTCTCTGTTCTCCTCCTCCTCCTCCTCCTCCCTCCTCCTCCTCCCTCCTCCACCTCCTCTTCCTCCTCCTCCTCCTCCTCCTCCTCCTCCTCCTCCTCCTCCCTCTTACCCTGGCTCGTGAATCAGCTGCGTTTCATAGCGCGAGAAGTGTGCATGTCCCTCTACAGGAGGAAGATTTAAAAATAGTACAAAAAGTACGGGGACGATCTTTCGAATGTTTTTTTTTTGTTTTTGTTTTTTCTGGTTATTGTTTGATTTTCGCCCGACCTAACGCCAGTGCTCTATTGTGGCGTGGGCCCCTCGGAGCTGTCGACCCCACGTGCGTGACTGCTTCCTCGGCACGGGCCGTTTTATCTGCGGCCCCCGGGCCCCGCACCCGCAGACCTTGGTGGCTCCTGGGCGCGACGGGACAGCGTTTTGAAAGTTCCGTCGTCGTTCGGCATTTCTTTCCTGGTTCCGGGGCCGTATGTGATCCGGTCCGCCTTTTGTTTTTTGTTGTTTCCCCTTATTTTTTGTTTTTCGTCTTTGTTTGTTTTGTTTGTTTGTCTCTTTTTTTTGTTTCCCCTTATTTTTTCTGGTTCCGTCGCCGTTTGTGATCCGGTTCCGCCTCTGGTGTCGATCCCGGAGCAGTTTCCGTTCCGTTTCGGCGATCTGTTTTTGGTTTGGTTTTTGAAGAATTTGCATTTTCAAGATTGATATTTTTGGGGGCCCCGCAGACCGCAGTGGTTCTTGGAAGCGACGTGCCGTTTTTTTTGTCCGCCTTCGAGTTGCTCGTGTTTCCTGGTTTCAGGGTAGTTTTTGTTGTTGGTTCCGTCGCCTTTTGTTATCCGGTTCCGCCTCCAGTGTCGATCCCGGAGCAGTTGTCGTTCCGTTTCGGCGATCTGTTTTGTTGTTTTTTTGTTTGAGTAATTTGCATGATCGGTATCAATATTTTTGAAGGCCCCGCAGACCGGTTCTTGGAAGCGACGTGCCGTTTTTTTTGCCCGCCTTCGTTTTTAATGTGTTTCCTGGTTTCAGGCAAGTTTTTTTTGCGGTTCCGTCGCCGGTTGTTATCCAGTTCTGGCTCCAGTTTCGTTCCCAGAGCAGTGTTTTTGCGTTCATGTTCGGCGATCAGTTTTTGTTGAACAATTTCTAAGTCAAGATCAAGATGTTTGGAGGTCCCGCAGACCTTGATGGTTCCTGGAAACGACAGGGCAGTTTTTTTAACCGTTTTCGTTTTGCATGCGCTTCCTGGTTCTGGGGCAGTTTTTTTCGGGTTCCGCCGCAGTGTGTCCGGCTCCCCTGCCGGTTCCGATCTTGCAGCAGTTTTTGTTCCGTTTCGGCGCTCCGTTTTTTCCCCACATGTTTAGTGGGGTTCTGGTTTTCTTCCCCACATGTCTCGTGGGGTTTTGGTTTTCTTCCCTGCCGCGTCGCACCCGCGTCTCCCGCACACACCTCCCTCTCCCGCAAAGCGTGGCAGACGTGACATAAACACATACAAATACACAGGCACACCGACACGGACACATACACACAGACACAAACACACATACACACATACACTCCTTCACCCACGCGCAACACTTGCACGGCTCGTACATGACACACGCGTAGCACACTTCACAACACAGCGCAGCGCAGCGTTCTCTCGACACCACAGGGGGTGCGCACGGGGTGGTCCCTGAGCGCGGCCGCTATCCGTGACGGCCGTCCAGGGCACAGCAGGCGTTGCGTTTTCGCGACACCACAGGGGGTGCGCACGGGGTGGTCCCTGAGCGCGGCCGCTATCCGTGACGGTCGACGAAGACAGCAGGCGTGGCGTGGCCTCGACACCACAGGGGGTGCGCACGGGGTGGTCCCTGAACGCGGCCGCTATCCGTGACGGTCGTCCAGGGCACAGCAGGCGTGGCGGTTCCTCGGCACCACAGGGTGTGCGCACGGGGTGGTCCTTGAGCACGGCCGCTATCCGTGACGGTCGTCCAGGGCACAGCAGGCGTGGCGTGGCCTCGACACCACAGGGGGTGCGCACGGGGTGGTCCCTGAGCGCGGCCGCTATCCGTGACGGTCGTCCAGGCACAGCAGGCGTGGCGTTTTCTCGACACCACGGGGTGCGCACGGGGTGGCCCTGAGCGCGGCCGCTATCCGTGACGGTCGTCCAGGGCACAGCAGGCGTGGCGTTTTCTCGACACCACAGGGGGTGCGCACGGGGGGTCCCTGAGCGCGGCCGCTATCCGTGACGGTCGTCCAGGGCACAGCAGGCGTGGCGTGGCCTCGACACCACAGGGGGTTCGCACGTGGTGGTCCCCGAGCGCGGCCGCTATCCGTGACGGTCGTCCAGGGCACAGCAGGCGTGGCGTTTTCTCGACACCACAAGGGGGTGGCCGCTATCCGTGACGGTCGTCCAGGGCACAGCAGGCGTTGCGTTTTCTCGACACCACAAAGGGGTGCGCACGGGGTGGTCCCTGAGCGCGGCCGCTATCCGTGACGGTCGTCCAGGGCACAGCGGGCGTGGCGTTTTCTCGACACCACAAGGGAGTGCGCACGGGGTGGTCCCTGAGCGCGGCCGCTATCCGTGACACGTCGTCCAGGGCACAGCAGGCGTGGCGTTTTCTCGACACCATAAAGGGGGTGCGCACGGGGTGGTCCTTGAGCGCGGCCGCTATCCGTGACGGTCGTCCTTGCGGTATCGGCGGGGCATTGGCCACCAACATCATCCTCACATGCTCCACCTCAGCTATCATCACCCCAGCCATCATATAAGTATGTGGGGTTCTTCGGTAACGTAATCATTTGTTGTAATCCGAGTTTTCAATCAAGACCATGTCGTCAACTGTGTCCATGCCGTTTCCGAGGACCGCAAAGCTGCAGACGGCCCTCGGCAGAGGCCGGGGCCACGCAGGGCGACAGCCGCGATTTTCCTGCAGCGCCTCGATGTCCAGGCCCCTCTTCCCTCGAAGCAGAGCCCCCCGCGGCCCCTTTTCGGCGTCACCCCAACATACCAATACTATGCGTGCGTCGCAGGGGTGACGCGTGCACCGAAAAATCTTACAGTCTATGCGTCGTGGCGGGCGCTTCCTGGCCACACCGCTCGGGAAAGGATTACCACAAGATGGATATGCTGTATGGTCGGGTCGGACGCGCGCCTCCGAAGAGGACATACAGTTCTAGCATGTATCTGCTCGTCACGTCTTGTCTTCGATATCCACACTGGAGACTTGGAGCTAGCTGGGGGCATGAGGTGGCCCAGCATTGGTTCCTGCGAGCGGGAAGGACGGGCAGGTTCGAGATGGTGGGTTCGGGAAGGTGCTCTGCCGCCTTCTCTTCGGCCTCTCTAGGGGCCGTTCTCGGGCCTCTAGGGACCGCGAGAAACGGATCCGGGGTGACGAATTGTACCAGATCGATGGACCCCGGGAGGGGTCCGGTGACAGATTTGGAGCGGTTTTGGCTTCGTCCTCCTCTCCTGGCCTTGCGGCCGGTGCCGCCGACCCTGAAGGGGGACGACGACCACGACGGCGGCGTCGGCGGCGACGACGACGATGGACGTGGCAGAGTCCTCAGTGATGTTTCGTGGGGCCTCGTCGGAGCGCGCTCGTAGGCCTCTGGTGGGCAGTTTTGGGACCTCTGGGGAGCGTCTTGGGGGCATCTTGAGAGCCTTCGTCCCCCCCTGCTGACATATCTTCCGGGGCTGCGTTCTGGCCAGGAGTTCGAGGCGAATGCAGCCGTGGCGGCGAGGGCGTCCTCCAGGGGCGCTCCACGAGGCGGGCGGCATATAGGGCCTCCTCCTTTGCTACCTCCTCCTCCTCCTCCGCACCTGCAGGTGGTCGGGGAGCAGCGCGGGCCATGGCCGCCCGAAAGGCCGCTCGGGAGAGCTTCGGGTTTCCGTATGGTCTCGAGGTGCACAGGAGCGCCCAGGGGTGCCTCGTCCACAGCTCCTCTGAGTAGACCGCCTCCTTGGGCCCGTCGAGCTAAATTGAAACTCTTCTCTCCGTTCTTCTCCCTTGCTCCACTCAGTCGGTCGTCCGCGGGCCGTCGCTTGAGGCGGGCGATGTGCCCGCAGATCCGGAGGTTGAGTGCGAAGCCGACCCCTGGCCTCTCCCCTTGCCTCCTGCCTACGCCGGCCAGACTTTATAACCTGAGTGCCAGGTCCCAGGCAGTGCCAGGGGGGGTCACCACTAAGCGGGGGATCGCCACTACCTCCTGAGGATCGAGGGCCGAGGAGGAGGGAGGATTAAGGATCAAGTAGGTTTTCGGACTCTTTGGGATGATTCTCTTGGGGGGGGGGTCCTGGGGGTGTCTCCTCCCCCCTCCTTGGGAGGAGGTGGCGAACCCCCCTGAGCGGTGGCCCCCCTCGGCGTTGCCTGGTCCTTCTCCTCCTCTCTGGCGCGGTGCTCTGGCGGACCACCCGCCGAGGCCGTGGGTGAAGTTTCCGATATGGGGGCGCGAAGCGTGTGGGGGATGCGCCGAGATTCGCGTGCGGGCTGAGGACAGAGGATGGGAGGAGGATCCGAGGGGTGCGGGGGGGAGAGACGGTGGCGCGCGGCGCCGCGGCTTCGAAACGAGGACCCGACAGCACAGGAGGGCTGTGGACAGCAGGATTTCGGACGTCCAGGTTCTTCTCACTGTGCTCTTTCTCCTTGTCTCTCGCTCCTCATTCCCCCCTCCACCTCCTCGCCCACCCCTGTATTTCCAGTGCTCCCGCTCCCCCTCTAGGCGCCGAATACTTCCTAACGCAGTCTTCCCCCCCAGGTCCCACGGTTTTGACACGATGCGTCCCCTTTTCTTTTCACAGTGTGCTTTCCTCGCCGCGTCCGCTGCATTGCATACCATTTCTTTCCCCTACCTGCCTCCAGGTGAACTACCCGCCTGCGTTCGGGGAGCCGCCCTTTCAAGCGACAAGGGATCTTGTGATGCTGCCGTTCGGTTACGGACGTGGCTCGGGGACCACTGCGAGGTGGCTTAAGGAGAAGGCCCTTGGGTGGGGCACCACTGGTATGGCGCAGGGGTAGAACGATCGCGAGCATGTGGATGGGGATGGTCTATCGATGGATGTGTGTGTGTGTGTGTGTGCATGGACGGGTCTACATGTTCGATGCATATATGTGCATGGTGCAGGGATACATGTATATGCGAATTGGAAACCGTGGATTCGAGTCCACGGATCCGCGTAAGGCGAAGCACGCTGATACGCGCACCGATCGATACACGCATGTTGGACTCTTTAAGGGGCCGGGCTGTTGGGGCCTCTTGCGGGCGTCTGATGGGGATCTTTTGAATGCTTCTTGGAGGCCTCTTGGGTCTCTTGGGCGCTTCTGTGGGACTCTTGGGGACATGTTGGGGGTCTCGGGTGCAACCTTTGGGCCTTCTCTTGGTGCTGTTTGGGGGCTTATAGGGCCGTATTGAGAACTCTTGGTTCGCCTTGACGCCCCTTTAGGGCCGTCTGGGGGTCCTCATGAGAGCCTGTTGGGCCGTCTTGGGATGATCTTCAGGGCCTCGTAGGTCGTCTTGAAGACACGGAAGCTGGAAAGCGCGAGGGTCCCGAAATCATTCAAACATAACGTCAATCATGATTTTAGTCTCGTCGGGCCCTCTTGCAGGTCCTCTTGGGGCCCCTCTTGGGGCGTCTCGGGAGCATCCTGGGCCGTCTCGAGAGCATCTTGGGTCGTCTTGGAGCCCTCTTGGGCAGGCTCGGTGCCCTCTGGGACCATCTTGGAGCCCCCTTGGGACACTCTGGAACTGTTTTGTTTTGGAGCTCTCTGGCGGCCCGGGGGCGGGAGTCCAGAGTTTCCTTGTGCCGTCTTTGGGCCCTCTTGGGAGCCTCTTGAGCCATCGTTGGGCGATCCTCATGGCCTCTTGGGCCGTTCTGGGGACCTTGAAGCCAGAATGTACAAGTACCTCGGAATCGTTGAAATAATGGGAGGTTAATAACTTTGGCGTTTTCAGGTCCCTTTCATGGGTCCTCTTGGCCTCTTGGGTCCCTGCTGGGGCGCCTTTGGGAGCCTCTTGGGCAGTCTCGGGAGCATCTTGGGCCGTCTTGGGACCCTTTTGGGTATCGGCGGCCCCGGGGCAGAGCCCTTTTTGAAGCCCCTTTGGGAGCTTTTTGGGCCGTTTTGGGTGGTTTAGGGGGCTTTGTAGGCTGTTCTGGCGGCTCTGAGGCTGGAAAGCGCGAAATTAATCATCATGTCGGCCTCTTCAGGCCTTCTCCGGAGTCCTTTTGGGGGGCTCCCTTAGGGCGTTTTGGGGGCTTCTTGGGACTTCATGAGAGCCCCTTGATCGTCTTAGGGCCCTCTTGGGCAGACTCGGGGCATTCTTGGACCGTCTGCGAGCCCTCTTGGCACGCTCCGAGGTGCGCTCCAAGCGCTCCCAGGGCGCTCCCAGCGCTCCAGCGCAGCAGAGCCAAGCACGGGTCAGCTCAGCCCAAGCCGGTCCAGCACAACACGGCCTATCTCAGCCCAATCAAGCGCAGCACAGCTTTACAGAACACACCGCGCCACACCACAGCTGCCTCGATCTGTTCCATGTCTGTCCGTTCTTTGTCGGCTATTCTTGTCTCAATTCAGGTTCGCCCTGTCTGGGTTCACCCCTTGTCGGTCCGTCGCAACACAGCGGACTGTAGCAGTGCCCAGCAAAGCATGGAACAGTAGGTTTCAGCAAAGCACGGCTCAGCATTGCCCCCAACGTCTGATTTTTCTTTATTCGCCGACGGGTATTCTGGCGGACTTGGGTCCCAAAATCATGTCATCGCGTGATGCGCCACAGAAACATAATTTGGGGGGAGGACGTGGCAGATGGGAAGGATGGTAAGCCTGAGGAAAAGGATGAGGAAGGAGGATGAGGAGGTGATCGGCAGCAGCAGCAGGCACAGGAGGAACGGGAGGAGCAGGAGGAGCAGGAGGTCAAGGGGAAGGCGGAGGCGAGGAACGGAGAGGGGCGATCAGGACGAGGAAGGAATCGGATCCAGAAGTGTGGACCGCGCTGGGGCGAGGAACGGCGGAAGCAACGCGCCGATCCTGGAGGGGGGCCAACCCTGCAGCGGTAACACCGTTTCGAAATCGGCCCGTCGACGGACCCAACCCTGTGCAACTGCAAGTAAGGCATGGGGCATGTCGAAATGGAAGCGATGTGGCCATGCGGACCCTGCAAAGAGCCTTCGGTGGAGCTCCCTGTGGAGCCACGAAGCGTGTCGAGGGTGTGACGAATTGGAAGCGGCGCCGCTATGCGGGGGCTGCCTTCAGGGCCTTCGGTGGAGCCTCCTACGGGGCCACGAAGCGTGCGAGGGGTGTGACGAAATGGAGGCACCGCCTCCATTGGACATCAAAACTAAAACCAGTTTTTTTGTTTGTGTGTGTGAGAGAGGGTGTATATGTGTGTGTGAGAGAGAGAGTGAAGAGCACGATGTACGCGGGAAAGCGCGGGGCCACGACCTCACAGTGTCAGGGGAGACAGGAAGGTCATGCTCATATCTAGCAATTGAACATCCCAGCCCAGGCGAATCCATTACAGCACGGCGTTGCACACTTCAGCACAGCGTAGCACAGCCCAACAACAGGCAGCACATCGCAGCAACAACAACACACAACCGAACCGATCTCAGCACTGCGCACCACAATATATCGCTCTATACCACATTATTCCATATCACCGCGGCGACAACGCTCTCGACATTCAAGCATCGTGCGTGTGTTGACGTGAGCCCTTGATCCCTCAAGGTGAACGAACGGTGCCCGCAACCGTCTTGGCCCAAGGGAAGGCGCTCCTGCACGCCGCCCGCCAGCAGCGTGCCATGCGATGCCCCGAGGACGAGGCCGAGTCCCTGGTAAGGATCAAGACGCGCCGCGGCATCCTGGAGTTCCAGGCGAGCCAGGTCCGGCCGAGGCGCCTCGGTGTGATCGTGGCCAAGCGGCGCCTGATCCTGGAGTACGAGGTGCCAGGGCACCTGCGAGCGCTGCACGTCGTCGACGTCCCCGCGGCGGACGGCCCCGAGGCTGCGGCTGCTGCTCGCCCCGACTGGGCCGCGGAGGCAGAGGGCCTCCGCCGTGCGCATGGCCCGTGGCTGGGCAAGGTGGCCACCGCCCAGCTCGCGCGGCTCCTGAGCCACCTGGCCCAGCTCGCGCCGGCGCCCGCGGAGCCGGGCCCGCCCGGCCGCGCGGCGCAGGGTGGGCACGAGGCCGCCGAGGAGGCTGCCCAGCTCGCGCAGGCGTCCGCGGAGGCCGGTTCGCCGGGCCGCGCGCCGCAGGGCGGGCACGACGCCTCTGCCAGCACGCCGCGGACCATCGCCGCCGAGGAGGCCCAAGAGCTGCGGGAGCTGGTGCTGGGCCGGGGGGCGAAGGCCCAGGGGAGGAGGAGGTGCCGACGATGCCGCTGCCCTGTTGCCCTTCGCCTTGTTGGGCCTCTCCTGGGAGGCCCTCGTCGGCACGGCTGGGTTCGCCTCGGAATTCTGGGCAGAAGGCACTGGGAGAGGTCCGGGGAGCAACGGCACCAGTGCACCGTGTGGTTTCCCTTCAAGGCGGCCGCTTCGCTGCCGCGGGAGTGGCTGCAGGGCTGGTGCTTCGAGCCCTTCTGATGGGCCTGTTTTCCACCACCACCACCATAAGTTGGAGGGGAGGATTAGGTGGAGGGTGACGAGGAGGAGGAGGAGGAGGAGGAGGAGGAGGAGGAGGAGGAGGAGGAGGAGGAGGAGGAGGAGGAAGAGGACCCCCTCCCTCTTCTACTTCTGGTGACGGCGGTGGAAAAAACAAGCCCACCGCCTTCGGCGCGGAGGCGTGCCCCTACGGGCTCCGGCAGGCGGAGGGCGGGCCCTGCGGCGTGGTGGCCCCCGTGCAGGGCTTCCTGGTGCGCCGGCTGCTCATGGGCGCCGCCGCTCCGGCCACGGTGACGCCGGAGCAGCGCGGCGCCGCGCTGCTGGATGCACTGGCGGATGATGGGAATGTTTTCCACCACCACCACCACCATAAGTTGGAGGGGGAGGGGGTCCTCCTCCTCCTCTTCCTCCTCCTCCTCCTCCTCCTCCTCCTCCTCCTCCACCTCCACCTCCACCTCCTCCTCTCCGTCCTCCTCCTCATCCTCCTCGTCGTCCTCCTCTTTCCCCCCTCCAACTTATGGTGGTGGTGGTGGAAAACAGGCCCATCAGGCGGACGTGCTGTGCCAGTGCGCTCCGCGGTGCGGCGCTGCCGGCGCTCCGTGCGTCCGCGTCCTGGCGCCGCCGGCGGGCGCGGCCGCGGGGCGCGTGCTGCGCGGCCCCGAGGGCTGCCTCGTGCACGAGTTCCGCGGCTGGGCCGCGCTGCGGAGCGCGCTGGAGAGCAGAGGAGGTGAAGGCACCGATGCCACTACCCTTGACCCCAGACATGATCGCGTCGTAAAAAGACTCAGGATGGGAGGTTTTTGGCAATTTTCTGCCTCGGGGGGGCCCTCGCCGGGCCTCGGTACCGTCAGAAAACGGATCAGGATGAAAAACCGGTCCTGGGGAAAGGGACGGGACTTCCAGGGACCCCGTACTGAAAAAATCAGGACGTCGCATGTTTGGGGCTCGTGTTCGCCTTTGTGGGCCTCCTGGGGGAGCCCCCCTTGTCACGGCCGGATTCGCCTCGACAGGCGGTCCGAAGGCACCCCAGGAAAGGTCCAGGGAGTGGCGGCGTCGACACCTGTTGGTCGCCCCAGGAGGGGCCGCCGCTCTCGGACCTCTACCTCTGCGATGCGGAGGGCAGCAGCGCCAGCGCGGGGGTTCTGCTCTTCCTGTACAGCGTGCTCTCGACGCGGGGCGCGTCGGCCGTGCGGGCGGACGCCGACCTGCCCGACCAGGCCTCCATGATCGGGGCCCACGGCTACTGCACACAGGAGGCGGTGAACCTGCTGCTGGCCGGGCGGGCGTGCTCGAACGTCTTCGACGGCGACAAGGAGATCGGTGGCGAGGGCACCTCCGACACCATGCGCCTCAGGGGCATCGAGTCCCAGACGCAGGTCGGCTTCCTGAGCCTGTTCGAGGCCTTCGGCTCGCTCCAGGTTGGCACGCACATGAAGAGCCCCGCGTGGCCCGTCTGGGTGGTGCACGCGGAGTCCCACTACAGCGTGCTCTTCTCGGGGCCGCCCGTGGTCGGAGAGCAGCCGGAGCGGGCCGACCAAGAGGTCGACGTGTGGTACTACGACCCGCTGGGGCGCCAGGACGAGGAGAAGCGGATCACGGTGCGGCCCGGCAGGCTTGCCGCCCCTCCGGACGAGGACGACCTGGACGCGAACGGCATGATCGCCAAGGTGGTCCGCACCCGTTGGGGCGCGCTGGCGGACTTGGACTGGAACGGCGCGGAGCCCATCGAAGAAGAAAACACGCCATAGTCATAAACTTTTTGCGCTCCGCGCGACTTTCTTGGATCCGCGCTGCCCCTGGCGCGCTCCTCGCGCCAGGGAGGGGGGTCAGCGCAGATCGAAGAAATCCGCGCGGAGCGCCAAAGTTTATGTCTATGCAGTTTTTTCTTCTTCTAGCCCATCTACTAACCCATCTACTAACCCCCATTGGGAGCAGGAAGCGCACCACCATCACCACCTGGGGGGATTCAGGATGCGGTGGTGTGCGGGATGTGGGCGTGCACGATGTCCCGCGAGAGCGCCCGAAATAATCTACACCACCACCACCCCTCACTGGGGGCAACGCAAAGGAACCGATACCGCTCACTACTCCACGGCCCTCTCCTGCGGTGCGCTCTGCTTTGGACTTCGCGGCGAATCCAGCGGTGGCGACGAGGGCCTCCCAGGAGGCCGAGAAAGGGGGGACGACGAGGGAAGTGTAGCGGTACGGAGACCTCTTCTTCCTCTGATGACCACCCTGTGCCTTCCTCCTCCCGGCGGTGGTGATGGTGCGTTCCCTCCTCCCTTGCCCCAGTGCCGGGCACGGCTCCCGCTGGAGCCCGCGCTGTCAGGCCCCCGAGCGGCTGGGCCGGCCTGGCGGCCCGGCTCTCCCCGCCTGGAGTGCGGCCCCCCCGCCAGCGGCTGCCCGTGCGCCCGCTTTCCCGCGCGTGCTCTCGCAGCAGCTTCTCTGGGCCGGATGGGGTCCGAGTAGGCGGGGTTGGAGGATCGCGCCGCATCGCCGATGCATCGACGATGCATCAGCGATGCGGGTCGATGTGGGGACCAAGTTTATCCACGCCGACGTCGCCGATGCATCGCCGACGTTGCCAGTGCATGGCCGTTGCATCGCCGATGCATCGCCGATGTGTCGGCGATGCGGCGAGATCCTCCGACCCCATCTACTCGGACCCCATTGAGGAGGCCTCTAGGTTTGGAGCCTCGGGCCGCGATCAAGATCGATGATCTACAGGACGTGTGTTAGCCTCGGAGGAGGACAAGGTTCCCATACTGCTACCCTTCGCCCATCCTCCTCCTTTTTGGGCCTCTTCGGAGGCCCTCGTCGCCACCGCTGGATTCGCTTCGAAATGATGGTCAGAACGCACCCCGGGAGAGGTCCCGGGAGCAGCGATAGCAGTACCTTTTGGTTTCCCCAACGGTCGAGCATTTTATTAAGACACCTCCTCCCGAAAAATTGGGCCAGCCCGTCTTTTGATCAACTTGCTAGAAAACCGGCCTGGTTTCTTGAGCACGTTCGCCCCTCCAGCGTTGGCGACAGAACCTGTCTCACATTTGCTTTAAGAAACGTCCTGGAAACTGGCTTTCTTAGGTAATATATTCTTGCTCATCACATGCTCGGCTGTAATACATGTATATATACATATATATATATATATATATATATGTGTGTACATGTTGCGTACATACATGTGCATATGTATTATAGGTTTGTATGCATATGTATATTTATACACACGTATATGTATGCATATATATATATATATATGTTTATATATATGCTGTGTCTTTCCTTCAGCGACACCGATGGATCATCACGCCGCCTGCGCCGTATGGAAGAGCTCCAGCGGACAGGCACGCGCCAGCGCTGGCACGCGCCCCGAGGATCATCGGCGAGAGCGAGCCTCGTCACAAGCAGTCCGTCTGACGTCCTGGCCCGCGCGCCGCCGAGAGGCGGAGGCTCGGAAAACGAAATCTGTGCGTGTCTCCTGTCTCCCCCAGGTGATCGTTTTTTGTGCTTCATTGTTTTGCCGATCGGCGCAGGCCCTGAATTACCCCCCCCACCTTCCCCCCCATATGGAGTAGATCTTGGCTGTTTTTGGCGCCCGTTTCGAAGCAGGTGGAGTCCCCCCCACGGGACGCACGGTTCCCAACAGTCGCACAAAGCAGAGGTCCAGAGCCAGACCACCCCCCTCCCCCCCTTCCCGCTGAATGTCGAAACGCCGAATAAGAAAGCGATCACCGGCTGGACCCTTCCTGGGCCCCAGAGCTGTGTGTACGCCCATCTGGCCAATCCGGGAGGGCGTGGCGCAGAGTCCGCAGAGGCAGGAGGAGCGACCTCTCAAGGCTAGCCTTGCAGCCTTGCCTCCTCGGTCACCTTCGGTCCATCCTCCACCACTTTCGACGGCCAGCCCTGCCCCAAGAGCCTCGGCACGGCCGCCCAAGGCCCTGGCATCGTTGCCGCGCGCCCTTCCCAGACGGGTTGACCGTGCCTGCAGCTGCTGGGGCTCAGGCTGGGCCTGGCCGGGGAGGCGTGGCTGTGCACAGCTCTCGTCGCCCTCGAGGCGGGAGGGGCCGCGGAGGCCTGGCCGCCGCGGCGGGCAGGGCAGGGCCGCCGCCGCCGACCGGAGCGCCGCGCCGCGGGCGCGAGCCGCCGACGCGGGGGCGCAGGGCCGGGCCTGCGGGCGAGTTCTGCCCTGGCCGGCGCGGCGGACCTCCAGGCCTCCCAGACGGGGTCGGAGTACGGTGGGGGCCCGTGTCAAGAGACATCCTGCTTGCCTCCAGGGTGCCCTGGGTTTGGGTTCCGAGGGTTTTGCTAATTACGTGGAAAGCGTGGCGTTCCCACACCGCAGATCAATGGACCTCCTGGGGTCTCAGGGTTGGGCTTCTTGTGGAAGGTTTCTTGTGGTCGGGCTCCTACTGTAGAGGGGGTCGAGGGATCGCGCCGCATCGCCAATGCATCGGCGACGCGGCTCGACGTGGAGCCCGAATGTCTCCACGCCGGCTTCGCCGATGCACCGCCGATCCTCCGACCCCCATCTGCTCGGACCCCATTCTGGGAGGCCTCTATGACCTGCTGATAAAGGGCCCCGCGTGTCGGCCGCGCAGAGAGGTGCTCCTGGTGGCAGGACTCTGCCTGGCACGCCGAGCCAGCACGGGGGCGGCCGCCGTCGCCTCTCGAAGAGAGCAGCCCGCGCGGAGGCCGCCGCTCACTTCTGTCGCCCACAGTCCGCCTGGATGTCCCCCGCTCCCTCCCCCCCCTCCCCTCTCCGCGTCCTCCTCGCTTGTCCCATATACCTCTCCTGCTCGGCCACTCGCCGCGGGGGTATATGCGGGGGGGGGCAAGGCTTCTTCGAAGCACACCCCTGCTTATATATCATGTGAGCGGCGTCCAGCTCCCCGGGCCGGCGGGCAGCACACTTACATTTTTTCAATGATCATAGCTCCCCCCCCCCCGCAACCCACTTTCGACCCCGGCGCCGGCGGGCCTTTTCGAACGCTCCAGGGCGTCCCTTGTGCCCCGAGGGCCCTCCTCGGCGCCCGCGGAGGACGCCCAGAGGCTGCCAAGACGGCCCATGAGCAGCGCATCAAGCCGCCCAAGATGACCCCATGGTGGCCCAAGAGGCCCCCAAGAGGCCCCATGACCGCTCCCAGAGGACCTCCAAAAGGGCCCCAAGGAACCAAAATCATTGATTTCCATTGTTTTTTCAATGTTCTTCGCGTTCTCGCGATTTCGGGCTTCCGACACACCAAGACTGCCCAAGAAGCCTCCAACATCGCCCCAAGAGGGCCCAAGAAGCCCGTAGAGTGAAAATGCGGTAGGCGTCCTTTGGCCTTGCCGCAAGCTCCCCGGCCTTTGGCCGGGGCGCGCGGGGTCAGCCTGCTCGGAGGCCGCCGTGGCAGATGGTTCTGCCTGCCAGCGCCTTACCAGAGCTTCAGTCCACCCATCCGCCCCCCCCGGAGGAAGGAGGGGCGCCGACGGGGCCGCCGCCTCCGCCGCCGCCGCCGAGAGGAGGGGGGAGGAAAGGGCCGCCCGCCGCCGCTGCCGTCGCGACGTTGGCCGCGGACTGCAGCGCCGCGCCGTCAGCCTGAGGGCCATCAACGCTCACCCTGCGCGGGGGGGCCAGGGCCCCCCCGTAACGAGACACCGTCGGGACACCGCGCCAGGACACCAACGCGGCCGACCAGGGACCCCGCGCCCCGCCGGCCAGGGAGCCAGGGGGAGGAGGGGAAGACGGATGAGCCCCTTCCGAAGAGACGCTCTAGCACCGCCGGCCGCCGCCGGCCCGACTTCCGCGACGCCCCGCGGTAAAACTTCCGCCAGCGACCGCTGAGAAGAATCCGCCGCTTCGTGCGCGAACGCTTCCAACCGCCACCGCCTCGGGGCGCTGGGGCCCCCCGTTACGCTGCCTTGCAAAGCCTCCGTGACCTGCAGGGCCAGCTGCGCCGCGGCGAGCTGCAACTGGGCCCGCCGGCGTGGGCTCGGGTCCGCGTGATAAGTAACCCAAGCAGACTTGGCCGTCACCCGAGGCTGAGCTCCCCACCACCCCTGGGGGACTGCCAGCGGCCCCTCCTCCAACGCCCTTCTGGCTTGGAGAAACCTCGGGCAGTCCGCCCAGAAATGGCGAGCAGAAGCCCTGTCAAACCCGCACCAAGGACACGCCGTTAATCGACCCTGCCCAGACCAACGGCGGGTCGGCGTCCACGCGGCCCCGGCCCGCCACACGGAAAGGCAGAAGCGCTTCCGCGGAGGAAGCCGGCGACGCCAGCTAGACCAGTCCGGGTGGCTCGAAGCTTCGATGTCCACCGCGCCCAGCATTTCCTCGTCGTGCCACGCCCCAGCCCTGCGCTCCAGCAGCAGGGAGGCCCGCGCGCAGACGCGAAGGACATGCTGGCCCCGGGGGCTCGACGCGTCGAACGCACCTCCAAGGTGGTGCACCCCCGCCCCTTCCGCCGCCACCAGGGCACGGCGGTCCAGGCCAACCCCTGGTACCACCCAGATGCCCTCCGGGAGGGGGCCAGGCAAGAAGCCCCCAAGAGGCCTCCAAGACAGCCCAAGAGGGTCCCCCAACGGCCCAAGAGGCGCCTGAGACGGCCCACGAGGGCCTCAGGACGGCTTCAAGAGGAGCCGAAGAGGGGAAACGCGAACCGACAAGTCGCACCAAGAGGTCCCCAGGAGGCTCCAAGAGGCCCCCAAGAGGCCCCCAAGATGCCCCAAGAGAGCCAAAAGAGGCCCCGAAGAAGCCCAAAAGAGACTCCCAAACGGCCCCTGGGAGGCTTCAAAACGGCTTCTGACACATATCCAATGCACGGCCCCCCTTGCCGCGAGACGCTGTCAAGGGGGAGTGCCCGGGGGGCGTCCAAGGTTGTCTTGGGACCCCCTTTGGGCCCCTCTCAGGGCGCTTTTGGGATCGTCTTGGATTGCCCGTTAGAGCTCTCCGCCACCCCCCCTGGGGCGCCCTTGGAGTCTTCGTAGCGCGCCTTGTCCGAAATCGTATCAGAGCAGCCCACGTTCTTCATACTCATTCACCCTATGCTGTAATCATTTGTGGGTAAGTCTTGACGTTGCATGTGTGCATACACATTTGCACGCAACTGTGAGATTGTCAAGGGCTGGAGCTTGCTAGAACCTAAGCGCGCGCGAAGCGCGCGTGGTTCTAGTCTCAGAAGGCGCGGGCCTCGCCTGTAGGTGTAAGGCCAGCTCCTTCTAAGAAGCGGCCTCCTTCCAAGAAGCCTTCCCCGCTCCCCCTAACCTCCCTTGTGCGCGCCGCCAACTCGGGCTTCAGAGCTCCTGGTGGCGGCGGGAGGAGGGGGGGGATCGCCGTGTTCGGCGCGCGCTGGAGGGCGCAGGCAAGATGATACAGTCAGCCCGGATAGTAAGGATGGGCAACCTTCCCAAGGGTACCCTTGCATCCTTGCCTCCTCGGCCCATCCTTACCCGCTTTCACTGGCCAGCCTCGTTCGAAAAACGTCAACTTGGCCCTCCAAGGCCCTCGCATCCCTGCTGCGCATCCTTATGATACAGGGTGACTGTATCCACGTCCACCGCGCCTTGGACCTTCTCGGGAGTGGCGCCAGGAGGCCGAGGCGCAGTGGGTGCGGACAAGAATCTGGCCTCTTGGGGCCAGACTTTTTATCCATGTCCACTGCGCCTGTGATTGCTGGGGGAGGGAGCTCGAAACTCCAAGATCGGCGGCACCCCAACATACTAATACCGTGTGTGCGTCGCCCCCCCCCCAGGGGCGACGCGCGCACCGAGAAATCTGAGAGCATATGCGTCGTGGCGGGCGCTTTCTGGCCACACCGCTCGGGAAACGATCTACTACAAGATGGGTATACTGCATGCTCGGGCCGGACGCGCGCCTCCCAAGGAGGACACACACACACACACACATATACACACATCTATATATATATATATAGATATAGTACTAGTCTGTCTCTGTTCGTCCCACAAGACGCCGTCGATATGGGCACAAAGTCTTGCCCGCACAGTCGCGCGCGCCTCGCGGCCTCGGTGCCCCTCCGCGCGCGCGGGGCGGCCCGCGCCTCGGGGCGGCGCGCCGCGCCGGCCGCCCGCCGAGGACCGCCCGCGGCTCTGGGCGGAGGCTCGCCGGCGCAGGGCTCCGCGTGGCCCCGCTCGCCCCCAGACGGGCGCGGGCGCCCCCCAGCGAGAGAGGCGAGGGCTCCCAATATTTGGAGTGAGCGGACAGCGGAATCAGACTTTGGGCATCAGCCATAGATATGTCAAAGGCTTTCGACATAGTTGAACACGACAGCTTGTGGATAGCTTTACTTCACCAAGTTCCCTCTGCGTACATACATGGACCTGCTCCAGCGCGTGTACTTGCCCGCCCAGCTCGTCCCTTCTTCGGGGCTGGGGTTGGTACAGAACCCCCCGCCAGGAGGGCGGATCGTCGCGGACCTTGACAGGCGGTGGATATGGATGTATGTTGACCCCGGGGGGCCAAAATACATCCACATCCGTCGCCCGCTGGGTCCCGGAGCGTCGGTTCCAAGGCGGCGGATATGGATAGAACTCCGCCTCGTACCTTCCCCGTTGGAGAGAGACATTTACCAGCCTGACGCAGATCCTCACTGTGAAGGCCTTATGGCCAGTGCCGCGGGCCCTGGAAGAAGATGAGGGTGACACCTGAAGTTGTTCGGGAAGGCTGGGGCCAGACGCCCCGAGCAGTTCCCCTGAAGCCCCATGAGGTTTCCAAGAAGCCCAAGCTATCTGCCTATGTGCTTTCGCAACCGCTGGGGGAGGAAGAGGGGGGGAATCAGGAAAGGGATGAGGAGGAGGAGGAGGAGGAGGAGGAGGAGGAGGAAAAAAAAGAAGAGGAAGAGGAGGACGAGGAGGAGGAGGAGGAGGAGGAGGAGGGGGAGGAGGGGCAGGAGGGGGAGGAGGAGGAGGAGGAGGAGGAGGAAGAGGAGGAGGAGGAAGAGGAGGAGAAGGAGCAGGAGGAGGAGGAGGAGGATAAAGGGGAGGAGGAGTGTGAGAAGCTGAAGGGAGGAGGAACGTTTTGGAACGTGTTGACAAGCAGCGTCGTGCAGAGCGGAAGGGAGGCGGAAGGGAAGGGAACAGCAAGCACAGAGCGCTCAGCATCAAACGGCACACCCGCGCTCTCGTGCCTACTGATCGGCCACGGCCGCGATGCGAGCGTGGCGCAGCAGGGAACTCGCCTAGGGCGGCCCTGCGTAGCTCGGAAATACACCGCGGCGAATTCTGCCAAGGTTTTCGAGGCCCTTCCTAGAGGGCGCAAGGCACACGGGCACCAACTGGCGCCCATTCGAAATAGCCGTGCGGCCACAAACCTGGCGAAAGTACAAGCTGTGCAAATCCCAGAACGCCAGCTTGTGCCAAGGATGCAAGGCCGCACCAGAAACCGAGACAGGCCCAAGGACCTCGACAACGACGTCCGAAGGGAAGGGGTCCACCCCCGCGGCAGGGACGCAATGAGCCTTGGAGACCTCTAAGAGGCCATCCTTATCACAAAGCACCTCGCAAACTCTGCAGCGAAAGGAGCTGCCATATGTCACGAACCTGTGCGGCGACGCGCGAAGCGCTCGATCGAGC